TTTTTCATTTTTAAACTAATTAATAACTTATTTTTAAATATATTATTCAAAACTAAGAATTATACATATACTATGATTCAATTAAATATTTATATTATTCGTTTTTATGATTAAAATACCGTTTTTGTATTTTTAAATTGAGAAATTGCTTATATTATATTATATTATATTAATTAAAATATAATATTTTTTAAATTAAAAACAAAACAAAAAATTACAAAAAGGAATGTGTATCATTTTATATAGAACAATGTAATATCAAATCACATCAACTTTTCATGCGAATGGATTTTAATAAATACATTTTATAAGATAGTTATAATCATAGTATTGATTGTAAAAATATTTTAATTTTATATCCTAATATTTTCAGCACTCAAATATTTTTTAACAATATTATAAAGAGTCAAATCTTATGAAACAATGTATAAAAAATAAAGAAATAGATTATTATTCGTTATTATGTTGCACCAGTCCAAGAAAATTATAATACACTAATGCTAATGCATTATTTTAAAATCAGTATGTTAATATCAGAAATATAGCACGACCTATAAAAAAAAATAATAATAAACGCAATTTTAATAATCTACTCAATTATCAATTAAATGAATATAAAATTATATATATGTATGCTTCAAAAATGCAGAGCACAATGAAGAACTTGTTTACATTATATGCACCGCTATAATAAAAATTCGAATTCTGAAATGTAAAAATATGTAGAATAATGTAGAATAATATTAGAACACACTTTCACAATTATGAAACAAAAAAAAAAAATTTCACAAATTTTTTTAAATATGTCTTTTTTCTTGCACCAAAATTTTTATTTTAGGTCAATGACGACCTTTCTTCGAACGTTTCCGTTTCTTTTTTTTTGAAACAAGAATAGTATTTGCACTTATTTTAGGTGCAGCACCTTCAGTGGCACTTGTAGATATAATTGTTTCATTTCTTTCTTGTAAAGTAGTCATAGTAGGAGGCTGTATAGTAATTTCTTCGCTTTCGCTTTCAGCATCACTTGCTCCTGTACCGGTAATACTTTCTATTTCATCTTCTGCATTACTTAATTCCAATGATATAATCTTTTCTCGTAGAGTTTCAACCTAATTACATAAATATATACATTTCACAAATGTTATAGTAGAATAAATAAATTTTTGCATTGATACGTTATTTATTAATTATTAATCAAATTATGAAAAATATACAATGCATAAATAAATATGTTATATGATAGAAACGAATTAAATATTATATTTTTACATTAGTAATAATTATATAATAATAATACCACCAAAAAGGAAAATACCTTTATACATGCCTAAATAAGTAATGGATAAGAAAAATCAATAGTAGCATTACCAATAATATGAGAAGAGTTTGTTAGTGATCAGTGGAAATAAAATCGATTGCTCAAGGTGGTGCAGGTTGTACTTCCATGGTCAGTGTTGGATTCTTGGAACAACAAACACAACCATTGAACTAGTGTTTCCACTAGATTTTGTGCGTTAAAGCAAAATAATTTTAAGAATAACATGCATGCATACATAGATAGATACACGCGCATTCATACAGAATTATTTTAAATTTATAACAAATATAATAAATTATAAATATATACATATCATATAAATAAATAAAATATAATATCAACCATATGTGTAGCTATATTATAAAAAATAAAATTTTATTTTTCTTTATTTAAATTTTAAATTAATTAATTTTTTTTAATTGTAATTCTAATTAATTAAAATATTAAAGTATTATAAAAGATCATGAGATTGTACAATTAAAGAATTTTTAATTTTTCTTTAAATCTTATTAGTTCTATTATACTATTATTTGTAAATATAAATAGTTTAAAAATTAAACTCCATTCAAAACACATCTTTAATTCATGATGTGAATAAATAATATATTTGGTGCTTAAATTTTGTGCAAACTCTAGAATTTATAATACCTGTCGTTCAATCAGTTTCTCGACGTATTCGACTGTTCGCACACGTCGTTCACCCGTCACCTCATCCACGTATTCCTCAGTACGTCGAGTGACCTTCTCGTCCACTACTTTCTCAGATTCGCGTATCTCTTTAGGGGGACCCACTTTGCTACGTACAGCAAGTTTGGGAAAATCTGCACTAGACGGCCGTAACGTAGTGAACTATGATAGTAAGACAGACAAAGAAGGTACCACTGTAGTTAACATAACATTGTAAATATACGAACACTAAGTTAGAACTACAGGTAAGCAAAGAAATAATTAGTAATATAATAACAAAATGCTGGTTAATTTGTTTTAAACACATTGTTAGATTTTTTATTATTTTAGTTTCCTGATAATATAATTAGATTAAAGGAACAATACAAACTGCTTACATCAGTTGTCTTTTCCGATTCAGAAAGAGGAGTAATAGGAATATCTGTAGAATCTTGCATTGAACTCGTTTTATTCGTATCCATCATTTCACTCATTTTTTTAATTACTATCTGTGCTTGAAGAGCATCCTGAATATAAACATTTAATGTTAATGTAAATATAAATACTATTTCGTATTTGAATTTTTAAATGTAAAAAAAAGCATTAAAATAATTACTTGTTCCAGAGATTTCAAACGTGCTTGTCTCCATGCCGCACGTTTTTCTGCTCTTAATGCTCTCTGTTCGGCAGGACTTAAATGACTTTCTTCATCTTCATCCGAAATTATACCCTACGCAATAAAAAATTATATAAATATATTATTAAAAATTATATTATTAAAAAATATAAATATTATATTCATATTCTGATGAACCATTTTAAATCATGATATCATTTAAAGAGATTATTAAAATTTCAAAAAAATTATTTCATCTAGAACAATATAAAATATATATAATATATTGAAACATTTGAATGATTAAGAATATTTAATAAAAATAATACCTCCTGTATTAGTCTTTCTTTCAAGCGGCGTTCTGCTTTTGCTGTCCTTACACTGCTTGGAAGATTTTGCAGAAGAGGGATCGAAGTTCGCGAACTCAGTCGGCTACTGCAAGGTAACGAGCATGCACACTGACAAATCATATACATGTGCTACAATTTTAATATTTATTCATTGAAAGAAGAAATATACAAAAGCAACGTTCAGTACAAAGACAAAAATAATATTATATGACTTATATACAAACGATAACAATACAAAAAAAATGACTACACCACACAACAACTGTAAACTTATGAATAATATAATTAGGATATCGGTGCTAAGAGATTCCAAAAATAATTATTTTTATATTATCATTTGAGTGATAATAATAATTTCAGAAGAATATAAGTAAAAACGAAAATGTTAACATTAAATAAATATATAATAATTATTCTTTAGAATCTTTAAAGTATGTTTGCAATGCATGTAAAGAAAATATATTAAAGCATGAAGTTTTTGTTTGTAAAAGCTATATATATATATATATTTATATAATATATATGTATATATACATATAATATTATATATATATTTTTTCCGATGTACATAATCTTTATAAATTTATAATTTTGTCTTATCAAAGAATAGAATATGTAATTTTATTGTGCAATAAATGCCTGTGCAAGCACAACCACAACCTCAATTGCAAAATACAATGTGAATGTGGATTCGTAAGCCTATATACAAATTTACGTTATTTTATAAAAAAAAGCAATCGCTAATAAAATTATTTATACGGTAATTATAGTAAGCATGCACACTTTATAATAATATAATAAAACTACGATAAAAAGCATTTAATATAAATTATATATACATGTAAAATTTATCGCAAATGTAAAAATAATAATATTCACAATGTCCATTCATTTTATATAAAATTTCCGAAACATCGAAAATTTTTTCATCATAACATTATTTTTAACTACTATAAAAATATAACACATAAAAAATATTTTGTGTTATTTTTTAAGTTATCAATTAATACTTG